GATTTGAAACATTTATTGAGCATGTACCAGAAAGTACTTTTGTACTTGGGATAGGATTTTTGTCGAGCTGAATTGTACTACTATCCTCATTAGCCTCAGCTTCTACAACTTCAGAGGAACAATAACTTAATTCTTTAAAGGAAGAATGTATTTCTTGAAGTAACAAACATGGTTCTGCGTTAGGTGGTGAATTCTGCTTGGTTGCCATAGCAACATAACGATCCAATGTCCCTGCTTTGGATAGTAATTGCTGGTGGCGACGCCTGGCATTTAGCAAAGACTCTTTGTTTGGATCATGGCAGAAATCTAACTCAAATTTAAGCGTTTCGTCAAAGCAAGATTTTGAAACGTTTTCATTTGCTGTATTTAGGCGTTGTTGGTTGTTGCTGTGGTGGTGAGGTTTTTGACTCTGCTTGTGAATTCTATATGTGGGTAACTGGCTAGCAATCAGCGCCTCTTCAGCCATTGTTGCATTTGAGGCAAGTTGAAGTTTTTGTATTTGTCGCAGCATTTCAGTAGATTGTGACAAAATATCAAGAAATCCAGAGCTGAATTCGTACTCTCCACGTAGGAAGTCTTCTAAAAGCATGCCATCACTGTCTTGTAGATACTTTACAAATGAAGTGCATAGTGCTTCAGCATCATTAAGTTGCCTTGAACCTTGGTTAATATAGGATATGCACACCGGACTATGCAGAAGTTTATGCCTTATTGATCGAGCTGTTGCGAAGGATCGCTGATTAGCCAGAAAATAAAATATACGACCCACAGATATTGAGCCGATAGAGAATGCAGGATCAACAAAAAGTCCGGAGGCTTCAATTAGAGCGAGTATTTTGCCTGTGGACTTAGTCTGCTCCTCACTTTTATGGCCTTTACTGATCAGACTTTCATAGAGAAGAGATTTAATCGATTGATGACGACGATTTTGTTGAGATACTTGAAGTCGTGTTCCAAGAATACCTAGTTCTTCCATGCCACGAGCCATTTCCCAAAGCTCTTCATGCGTATACTGAGTCAGATCAGTGTGTGCCAAAAGATTTAGTCCAGAATGTACGAGGTGATGAGCAGCTGTAAGTGCAGCAGTAACTAAAGGAACAACACTATCCTCTATTAACCTTCTTGAGGATATCATTATATATGGTTGGAATATGCTGTCTGCACGAAGTAAATGCCTCATTTGATAAAAACTTTGTTCAAGCTGATTTGTAAGACTATTGGCCTGGCTAAGCCCTTGACGCAAGTTTTCACAAAGTCCCCGCAAAAAGCCCAATTGGCTAAAGCTTGCGGAATACGGGCTACATTTATTTACATTTGCATAACTGACAAACCTACTGGGATAGCCAAAATAATCACAAATAGATGAGTATGAATTAGTCAGACCCGTAGATTCAGTATTTGGAGATTGATTGCACAAATTTGATTGCCATATCGCGTAATTGGTGAGTAATTTCACTTCCAATAGTTCATATTCACGAAATGCAACACGATTAGCTTGTAAGCACAAACTAACTAGATTGGAGAGAAGCTCGTTTGCTGCATGTTCACAAGAGTCATAATATATTGCGCGGCAAATAAGTCGTGAGAGTCGATGCAAAAGGGGGAGAAAATATCCGCTCATATCGGCAGAAAAAAAAGATTGTGGCAAGTTTTCATCGCGGCTAATTAAGGTCTCAATCTGCACAGCCTCAAAAGTTCTGCCGCTTTGCTCCAAATCATGTTGAATATGTGAAGGATTTGAAGACTCTCCTTTTTCCTATTTAAAAAGTAAATCAATAAATGAAAAAGAAAACGAATAAACATTCAAAATATTTTTGAGGTGAAACTGTATAAACTGATGTGAAGTGCTGAAAAAGGATGTGCACGTAGGCTTTGAAGTTTTTTTTAATGCGTTAAGAATATAACAATCAAACTAAGTACTATATTAAGTGTCCAACATATAAAAGTAAACAAATAAATTGCTGTATGATTTTTTTCATAATAATTGTTAACTAAATTTATATTATTATATAGAAA